ATATATATATATTAATTTTAAAATACAGTTAGAATAAAATTTCATAGATATATAATTTTTTTTAAATTTTTATTATTTTAAAAAAATGTATTTAAATTACTTATTATTTATATTTTATAATATATATATACAATATATAGTTATTATATATATTATATATATATACACGTGTGTAATTTAATTATAAGTGTATTTTTATATTAATATAAGTACATATTAATATAAAAATACACTTAGTATGACATTATATATATATGATATATAGACATATTATATAGTTATAATATATGTCTATATATCATATATGTATACACATATATATTTTTTTTATTAACATTAACTTTATTTTAATTTTTTGATTTTACACTAGCAGGGAGACTGCCTGTCAGCACAGACAGTCCCCCTGCAGGCAGACACATGGACACCTTTTGTGACCATGTGATCGCTGTGTTAAGCGATCACATGGTCACAGGGGTCCTAATTCAGTGTGGGGATACTGTCTGGGCTGCAGGCAGTCTCCCCACACCGGGAGCCACGCTGATCGCCGCCGGGGGAACGACGGCGATCAGGTAAGTAAGACCGTTAGGACGGTTCAGGACCGTCATCGGTCGGCAAGGGAAAAATGCCGATGACGGTCCTGAACCGTCCTCGGTCGCTAAGGGGTTAAATAAGAATGTGTATATACAATACCATAAACGTTTGCAAGTGATGTAGGTGCACGTTAAGACCGTTACTTACTAAAATGATAACTACTGAGAATTCAAAATTCATTTCAAATTTAAGGCCACGGTAGCCAAACTGAAAACAAAATTGACTAGTACTTTTCCAATTTGATTATTTTGGCCTACATTTTGAGATTCACTTTGAATTCCCACCAACTCTCGCATTAGAGAAAGAATCTTATACATTGATAGCTAATATATGTTCAAGTGTTATATGATAGTTCAGTATCTATTTAATTTTTCTTATGTTTACTGGGCTTTCCAGTGATGGGGAGTTGAGAGTGGCTGCATGTATAGATTTAAAATATATTACCCAAAGATCGCTTCACCTGTAATAACTGGATATTAATAGAGTGAGAACTTGTCGTTAAGGTGACACTATAGTCACCAGAAGAACTGCAGCTTAATGTATTTCATACAACTTATTGCATAATCATTCACTTTAGGCATTTTGCAGTAAACACTGTTTTTTCAGTGAATTTTAGGGGGAAGGCTTAACCCATTCATAAACATAGCAGTTTCTCTGAAACTGCTATGTTTATGAAAAAATGGGTTAACCCTAGCTGGACCTGGCACCCAAACCACTTCATTAAGCTGAAGTGGTCTGGGTGCCTAGAGTGGTCCTTTAAACAGATAAGTGTTTACTAGATGCATTTTTAGGAGGCAGGAAAGATAAACTTAATCTAAATCTCATAGAAAATGAATCTATGGATGCAAGATGCAGATGCACTTAGCCTCTTTCTTCCAGCTTTAATGTTCGCACATCGAGCTATCATGATACCCTCTGAGAAACCACCAGCTCTTTGTCATTATGGCATCTCCTCCGCCATCTTGCCCGTTTCGCTTTCAGCCTTCCCCAGTCATAATGGGCCGGTTTTCCTTCTCTAGAAGTGTTGACTTATGCCCTTCCACAGCAACCACATACCAATTAATCGGCCCTACAAGACTGCATCTGTCTCGTCATTCCTCAACCAGTGATGTCCCAGTTGATCCATCTCATCTTTCTAAATTCTTCTCATATAATAAATAATGGCACACAGTTCATAATTTGGGTTACATGCATGGTTTATAACCAGGTTATACCAGCCTTTCATAATTCCACATTATCAGGGTTATTCACTAAAGTGATCATTCAAAGAGAAGGTTTTAATATGCAAACCAGAAAAATTCAGCTATATTTCCCACCTAGCTACTCTGGTCCCAAATTTGAAATTTACTTTGAGGTCTCACTTAAGTCAATAACCCTGTGTATATGTACTTTCATTGTCTTTTTCAGGTATTGACTCCAACTGTTCACTGTCCATTTCTTATCTACCCAAGGACTTGATTCTCAAACAAATATACAAAAAACTTAGAAGAATATAAGTATTAACTCTCCTCCCAGAAGACAGATGAGCTTAAAAGGAACACTATAGTGTCAGGAATACAAATATGTCTATTTAGGCAACCATCCCTGGTCCAAACGCCCTGAAAAGGTGAGATTATTCACCTTTTTTTCCAATGCTGCGCCAGTCTTGCTGTGGCTGGCTCAGTCACCATGGCTGAGATAAATCTTGATTATCACAGCCAATCCAATCATTTCCTATAGGAAAGCACTGCAAGGCTATTTTGCATGCACAGCAAAACGTCATTCTGCGCCAATCAGAATCTCCTCATAGAGATGCACTGAATCAATGCATCTCAATCAGGAGTGTTGAGCCATCATGCAGAGCATGGAGACGTTGTAACGCCCGTGCTGCACAATGTGCAACACTGAACTAGGAAGCACCTTTAGTGGC